TTTGCAACATAAGGGACAATATTCTGGAGAAAAGAAAAGCACAGATAGGTGATCACAACACTCCCCAGTGTTTTTCTCCTCCAGAAACTTGTCACTTCCCAAGCAGTATGAATCAAGAATTTGTAAAATTTAAAAATTAAAACAAAGAAACAAACACAGAAAATATCTCAAACAGAAATTTTGGTTGCTTCATGGTGCAAGGAAGACAAAAATTGGGACTCAGAATTTTCCAGATAAAACGAACCTACTATACAACCTGACCTTGAATGGAGGCACTGGAAGGACTTTGCTCTGGTAATAAAAACAGAACACAATTGACCACCGATCAAAAAGACTGATATTCAGTCTCCATTCATATCCAGTCCTGATTGTATTCTGCTGTTTTTAGTTGCCTGGTTAGAAAAATAAATCTTCTTGGAAAAAATATAAACGGATAAAACATTTATTTACATTGCAATGCATATTCAGTAAAATATTACCAGGAATAGCTGGAGCCAGGATCAAAACCCAGCTGAACATCAGACATTAGCAATAAGTCACAGCCAAGAGGAGTATTAAAGTTATTAGACAAGGGTTTTAAATAATTGTGATTAATATGTTAAAAAATAGATGACAAGATGGCAAATTTTAGAAGGGAAATGACATGTATTAAAAATCAGTTGGACAGAGAAAAACAAATACCATATGGATTCATTTATATGTAGAATCTAAAAAACAAAAGAAAGGAACAAACAAACAGAAACAGACTCATAAATACAAGAATAAACTGGTTGTTACCAGAAGGGAGGGAGATGAGGAGGATGGGCAAAATAGGTGAAGGGGATTAAGAGGTACAAATTTGCAGTTGTAAAACCAATAAGTCATGAAAATTAAAAGTACAGCATAGGAGATATAGTCAGTAATATCATAATAACACTGTACGGTGACAGATGGTGACTGTTTATTATCGTGAGCATTGAGTAATGTATACAGTTGTCAAATCACTATGTTGTGCACCTGAAACTAATATAATATTGTGTGTCAACTATACTGCAATAAAAGAGAATCAATTGGAAGTCTAGAGCTTAAAACCACAAAAGCTACAATTAAGAACAATAGAGATTGATTTAATACCAGATTAGATGTGGCAGAGAAAAGAATTAGGAAAATGGAGAGTGTGTAAACGGAAAATATCCAGACTGCAACATGGAGAGAAAATGCAATGAGAAAGACAACAAAAGGACATAAGGATATATTGGATATGAATAGTTCCAATATTGTGATAGTGTAGTTCCAAAAGGACTGGAGAGGAGAAAAAGGAAATGAGGGATGGACAGTATTTGAAGAAGTATTTGCCAGAGATTTAAAAACAAACAAACAAACAAAAAACCTGAATATGACAGCAGCCATCCTTTTCAGGAAATTCTATGAGCCCTAATTAGGGCAAACACAAAGGAAAGTTTAAGCACATAGTAGTGAAACCAAAAAAGAAAAGAAAAACTATCCTGATAAAATAGATACATTATCTTCAAAATAACAACAATAAGACTGGCAGTTGTTACAACAACAGAAATAAGAAAATCCGAAAGTCTGTGGAATGGCTTTTCTAATGGGCTGAAAGACCACAGTAATAAGAATTCATCTCCCAGCAAAAATATCCTCCCTAATGAACACAAATTAGAGATGCTTTCATACAAACAAAACCTCTGAGAATCCATCACTATCAAATGTACACCTCAGGAAGTATTGATGACATCCCTATGGCTACAATAAAATATCCCAGATCAAAGCTTGTAAATGGAAGAAAAAATAAGAGGCATGGAAAGGGTTAGTATGTTCCTATGTAGGTTAAATTGAGATTCTGAGGACTTAGGAAGAGGACCAAATTTCAAGTATTCATTTCTAGCCTTCACAATATCAGAGAATTTTGTCACCTGTTTGAAGTGCTATTTGTACAGTAGGTTCCTTTATGTTGGTGTCTTAGCAACATTTCCTATAATGTCATTAGACAAATGAAGGCAGACTCACGTTTGTACAGAGTAAAGAAAGGTTTGGTGATTTTTCTTGTTTTTGTCCATTGTTGGAGAGAAGTTGATAACTTCAGAAATACTTGAGAAGTTACTATTCTGAACAGTCACACTGAAAGATTATTACTCACAGATGAAAGTTCCAACTGAGTTGAAGGTACAAAAGAAAGAAACAAATACAAAGTGACGCAAAAGAATATTTTCCGGATGGTCAAGAAAGCCCAATTACATATTTTCTTGCCATTCCCTAGCTTCTAAAAATGTAGTTAGGGATCATAATATGCAATTGATACATGGAAGAAGTCTCATTTGTGTTTAGAGAAATGCTGAGGAATTCTGACAGAATTTTTAATATTAGTTTTCATGTGTTTTGAGATGCTCATAACTGAAGATGTATTCTGGAAGCATCTTTGGCTATTACAGCAATATGAATTTGAGTAAGGCTATTCATCAAAAGCATTATAGATCTTATTAAACCTTTCATTTTACTCTTCAGAACAGGATTATTAGATCAAGCTATTTTTATATGATTTGTATCTCATGAAAAGAGATTGAAAATGGAAATATTAAAATTCTATAATTTTATTAACTCTTCATGAATGTTTGTCATTAATATTTAGAATAATCTTCAAAAAGTGATAGGTCCTGGGCTCCTGGGTGGCTCAGACAGTTAAGCCTCCCACTCTTGATTTCGGCTCAGGTCATGATCTCATGGTTCCTGAGATCCAGCCCCACATCGGGCTCTGGACTGACAGCAAGAAGCCTCTTGGGACACTCTCTCTCCCTCTCTCTCTGCCCCTCCCCTGTTGGCATGTATGTACAAGCACACCCATGTACTCGCATTCACACACACACCTCTCTCTCTCTCTGTCTCTGTCTCTCTCTCTCAAAATAAACTTGAAAAAAAGTGGTGGGTCCTCATCATTTCATCACTTTACAAGCTGAATGGGAAAGATGCCCCTTATTTTGTACATAAATTATTCACTAACTTCATCATTTCTTTCTGTTTTTCCTTTATTACAAATGAGTATTACACACAGAAAAGGAGAAAAAATAGTATAAGGAACTCTTATTCACCCATCAGTCAGGGTTGTTAATCATCAACTCATATCTATCTTTGTTTCATCCATACCCCCACCTACTACTTGCTCAGCATCCACCTCAGATATCTAGAGGCAAATCATAAACATCGTAATTTCATGTGTAAATATTTCATAATGTATCTTTAAAAGAAAAGGGAATCTTCTTTTTAATACAATAATAAACCAGTTTTATTGTATTACAAAATTAGCAATGATTCTGAATTATTTACAGTTCAAATTTACATGATTGTCTCATAAATATGCATTTCTATATATATGTATAGGCTAAGTAAATACACACCGATAAGCACGTATCCGTGTGTATGGTGTGTGTGTGTTAATTCTCTTCACCCATGACAATCCTACTTCCAAACATTGTTTTACAGAATCTTTATATCCCAAGATGTATTAAGAGGTGTTACATGGATTAAAACTGGTCCCTATCTAGTAAGCGTAGGAAACTGAGAATTAAATGTGCTTTGAGAAGTTTCTTTAATCCAAAATTCTCAGAGCTTTTAATATGCTAAAATGTACCGTGGCACTGTAAAGGCAGATATGGTATAGAGAATTAATTACACTTAAATAACCTCAAAAGTCCATTTTTATGTATTTATTTTTTGAAGCATTACTAACCAATTCCATTTTACTAAATGTGACCTTTTCCTGGATCTAAAGCATTAGAGACTTTCTGACAATATATTTACATAACTTGGATTTTCCTTAAATAGAAATTTCAGGTTCAAATTTCAAAACCTGAAGCAGTATTTCTCAAAATGTGATCCCTGGACTAACTACAGCAAAATCGACTGAAAAAGTGGCCTGTTAAAAGTCCATATTCTTGGTTCCCTTCACAGACCTACTGAATCAGTATTTCTGGTAGGAGTTGAGGATTTCACATTTTGAGCATGTTCTCTGAGGAGTTGTTATGCATGCTACAAAGTTTAAACTTCTAGAATTTCTACAAATACTTAAGGAATTTGCTACAAGAAGTAGAAGATGATTCAGAATGAAAAGGAGCAACTATCTTTTGTTCCAAGAGAAAGAGGCTTAAAGAATTTCAAAGTTTCACAGGTGGGAGAGTATAGCATAGGTGACTTCTTTCCTTTTTAATTTGTTATAATTCAGGCCATAATGGTCTCACTTATCCATAAATACAAGAAGTACTTCAGTCTTAACCATGAACTTCATGTTATTGTACCTACTCTATTGGTATTTAAGGACTCCTAGAAAGGAGAAGAGTAAATGTGTGTATATACCTCCCTCCACTCCCTGAGAGTGATTTGAATGGTTTGGAAAAAAATAAAAATAAAAGTCTCTGATACTAGAATTTCTTAAGAGTGCAAGTGTTTGCAAAGGAGCAGTCTCGACTGGTTAAGGAACTAAAGATTAGTCCTTGTTTTTTTCCTAAAATGGCATTAAAGGTTCTGTATATTTCTGCTGCACAAGAACCACTCTCCCCTTCTCTGCGAGTGTGATTTTGTCCCTGCGGGGTATTCACTTGGAATTGTGAGCCCGGAGCTGCGCGTGGTTGTAGGAGAGAGCTCTGTAGGGTAGCAATGAGCAGCCTCGTGGCTCAGAGCCACCTACACAGGATTAGGGCAGATCTGCATGTGGTGTGGGGAGAAGACACAGTAGGTAAAAGACTTCTCGTCCAAGCACCCCCTCACCCACAAGGAGACTATGCGTAGGGGAATGACGCTCGGGTAATCATCTATGCTCCTCTTTTGGATAAAAAAGCCTATTTACATAGAAGCTATTTCTTTTTAAATTTAATCTATTTTTCCACCCTACAGATAATGGTATGTCTCTGCTTCATATTTTCAACGCTTCCCATTTTCTTTCCGCAAAAAGAGTACATTTCTAAGCGTGTCACCCAGGACTAGCTTCATTGGTGTGCGGCTCCTCCGCATAGGACCCTGTGCTGAGAAAGGCCCCGTTTTGGTTTATCGCCCTGATGTCACTGTCCTGAAATGCTTAGTCATCTTGTCTCTGAAGTCCTACTTTGTCAGTGAAGTCTACCGGGACAGCGGAGCATGCGCGCAAGCAGAGGAACTATACTGGGTGGCGGCAGGTGCGCCCACGTGAGGTGCAGCAGGAGCAGCCCATTTGCAAACAGGCTCAGCCCTATGGACCAAGTAGACAGTGTCCACGCCTAAGAGTCGGTACGGTGTAGACCCCCCTGCCTCGTGGCAGTCAGGCGTTCTGAGGCCCTGAAAGTGGGTCCATCAGGTTGGTGGAGGTGATGGTCACAGCAGCCCCAGAAGTTTCAGTGGCCGACTGCAAAGGGCCTCACAGGAGCAAGGAGCTCAAAGCAGTCAGTGCCAGGAAGTAATGTTGAGAGGCCCGCTGGCCCAGAGTCCATGTAATCTTTGTGACATTTGCACAAATAGTGACTCTTCAACCTGAGCCCCAGGACGGAACTGTCAGCGTTCAGGCAGTAACTTTGTTAGCAAAGACTTACAAAATAATTGCCTGCACCTGCGCATTGCAATAAGGCATATCACAGAGTTATTCACATTCTTCAAAGAGTTTAGCATACCTTGTTTTTGAACATTTGTCCAACATTGGAAAGCTAATATCCAGAGGCTTAAAAGCAGAAATTAAATGTAAAGACTTTTCCACTCAGTGGTAAAGAACAGTTTTTATAGGAAGCTCCAGGTGACCTAATTATTAATGAGTGTTTCCCTGTAACTGAAGATAAGGCAAGAGAATGCGTAAACAGGCATTTTGGAGTATACACAAGTCATGAAGACACTTTCAGTGTCTTGTACAGCCTTCAGAAGTTACAGGGTATGTCAGAAGAGCATTAAAGTTCCACTGTTTACATTTACACCTAAAATTTAATTCAGAATTACACGAAAGGCATTTGGATGAAGAGTTAAATCTTCTAAGAAATATTGTCCCATGAGAATCATCAGCTGTAGATGTTCTAAAATTTATATTTCAAAATATATCTATCCCAATGTTGTCACATCCTGTAAACTACTGTTTACAGTCCTGTAACAGTTATATCAGTAGAAAGATGCTTTGCAAAATCAAATATCGAAAAATATTTGTAATTTTGCATTCATCATGAGCAACCGATACCGGTTACTTCAAGTGAAAATGAAATTGCGTAAAACAAATTCTAATAATTTAAGAAGCACATTTGTGGAAAGGTGAGAGAAAGCTTAGATCATGCCAGATATAACTTTAATAAGGCATTATTTAATGTATTATATAAAACTGACAACAAAAATATATATATATTTTGCAATTTGTAAGTTTATGTGGCTCCAATGCATCACTATTACCCTATTACATTTTATAAGTTATACAACATTCCTAAAGAAAGTTGCTTTATATTCAGTACATTTTTTTAAGTTTATTTATTTTGTGAGAGACAAGAGTGGGGAGGGACACAGAGAGGGAGAGAGAGAATCCCAAGCAGCCTCTGGGCTGTCAGTGCAGAGCACAACATGGCGTTCAGTCTCCCAAACCTTGAGATCATGACCTGAGCCAGAGTCGGATGCTTAACTGACTGAGCCACCCAAGTCACCCCACATTTTCATTTCACACTGTGACCCACAAATTATGTAGCAGATCCTAAAGATATTTCAGGCTTATGTCTTCACTATGACTATGACTATGACCCAGGTTCGTATTTTCCAATTTTACTCCTGTATTACTCTCTAATACTGGGATTTCTAGCAATGACTGCCCTGCACGTACTATGTTTCTTCTTCGCACAGATTCTTTGTAAATGCTCTTGCATCTTGCTGGTATGGGCACCTTCTCCCTACCTGCTGTCTTTACCAAAACTCCTATTTGCCTTTTACTCTCAGCTAAAACAACTCTTTCTCAATAAACTGACCCCTCAGGATTCCCCATTTTAATGGAATCATTCACTTCTAATATATGACACTTATCACAGCTGTAATTATGTACCCATTAATATGATTTGATTCATGCCAACTTCCTACTTTAGACTTAAATCTCTGTGAAAGCAGGCACTGTATGGTTTTTATTTGTTGCTGATTTTTTTTCCTCCACATTCCTTTGTATTTCCAATACTTAGCAGATTGCTAGAATTTGGTAGGTGCTCAGTAAATACCAGTTAATAAGTGAAATAACTAGTGATGATATCTAAACATTATAAATTATAATAATACAAATATTTCTTATTCATGAAGTTTTAGTCATTATTAGTGTCCTACCAATGAGCTATGTATACAGGGAATGATTTGTCTCACTTTGCTACTTTGTGGTGCCATAAATGGAAGGAGTTGCTGTCATTTTTAATGTTTGAAAATTACTTTAATTGCATGATCTAAAACTTTAAATCAGAGCAGTTTTGCTCAACCAACGCATCCAATTAGCCAACTCATCCTCCCATAAATGTAAATAAGACATTAGTGATACATTCTTTTTCCAAGAAATTACATCAGGAAAATATTTTCTAGTTCCAAAAAGTGTTCTTGAAACCCTGGTTATCATTTATCCTTACTTTGGGGGAGAGCAGTGAAGAAGGCTTGAAATTAGGAATGGATTGAGTCCACAGAATCATTCTTCAAACTTTTCTCCAAAAATAATTAGAATGAAAAGTGTATGCATCTAATATAATAAAGGAGAGAACATTTTAAAATTATGTAAACATAAAGATACATCTGAGGTAGATTGAGTTAGATTTTCTGTGTTATATTCAGAAATACAGTATGTGTTTTTATTTTTCCATGGCTCTCTTATCAATACATACCTTAAAACCCAAGATTATTAATTTCTATTTTTTGCTCCTGAACTTTTACCAAGGTAACAGTTGCAATTTTTAAATATTAGAGTAAGACTTAGCATTCTGTTGATAGAACACAGAGGCACACGAATCCATTTGAACACAGAAATTCAGGCTCAGTACAGTTTGGATTCTGGAGTAGCATGAATAAGACAGAAGGAAAGTAAAATGTTCAGTCCATCTCCTTTAGGGTTAAACTTTATCTTACAAATGATCTTTAGAGAAACAGATCTGCCAGTCTCCCATTTCACAGTTTTGAAACTTCCTTAGGTACAGTATTTTTTTTTTCAGTAGAATTTTCCCAAACCCCTATTTCTTAAATGTAAATTCCTTAAAAAAATATTTTATTTTGGTCAGATAGTGCATATCTGTGTCCAAGTGTATGTCCAGGCCTTCTTTATGGTTACTGAATTTCCTATTCAGTCAATCTTTAGCCCTCTAAAATCAGAAGTATTTATTTTGTTATAAAAAAAAATGTAGTCAGATGTGATCTATTACTATGAGTCTCTTTAAAATTTTGTTTAATGTCTATTTATTTTTGAGAGACACAGAGACAGAATGTGAGTGGGCTGGGGCAGAGAGAGATGGAGGCACAGAATCTGAAGCAGTATCCAGGCTCCGAGCTGTCAGCACAGAGCCTGACATGGGGCCCATACTCACGAGCTGTGAGACCATGACCTGAGCTGGAGTCAGATGCTCAGCTGACTGAGCCACCCAGGCGCCCCACTATGCGTGTCTTTTAATCAGGGAAATCAGGACTCTCAAGTTCAACTAGAGTATTTTTGGAAATGAGATTTGAAATGTTGGTCACTGGAACACTAGGACTTGTAGAACAATGGTTGACATTGTGACTGATGTTTCTGGAGGGAAGTTTTTTTTTTTTTTTTAATGTTTATTTATTTTTGAGAGAGAGAGAGAGAGAGAGAGTGGGAGAGGGGCAGACAGAGAGGTAGACAGAGGATCCAAAGAGGGCTCTGCGCTAATAGCAGAGAGCCTGACGAGAGGCTTGAACTTACAAACCATAAGATCATGAACTGAGCCCAGGTTGGATGCTTAAGTGACTGAGCCACC